GATATATGCACACCCATGTTCATTGCAGCGCTATTTACAATAGCCAAAAGATGGAAACAACCTAGGTGTCCATCAACTGATGAATGGATAACCAAACTATGGTACATACACACAATGGAATACTATGCAACCCTAAAGATAATGTAGAATCTGCAAAACATTGCATAATGTGGATGAACTTGCAGGACATTATGCTGAGTGAGATAAGTCAATCAGAGGAAGGACAAATATTGTAGTAGTCCATTATTGTAAAAGTCAAGGAAAGGTTTATCTATGGAAGGAAATTTTCTTTGTTGGTTACCAGATGTGGGAGGGGAGAGGAGGGAACACAGTTAGATAGACAGAGATAAGTATTGATTTGGGTGAAGAGAAGGGCAATGTACCAAATGTGAGTGATCAACATGGTAGCACTGAGGAAGAGGAAGACAGAAAGAGGTACATGGGAGGTACAGACAACAAAGATGAACCCTTTTGCATATACAGTACTGTGTTGTCAGGGAAGGCAAACAGATATACAAATGGATAGAAGGGTAGACAAGCTGAACTATTAGGTAAGTCTATGAAGTAGGGTTTGTACCCAAGACCATGTATAGGGTTGGCAGACAATGGTCTTATAAGTGTATTTGTATGATCTGTAAGAATTCCCAGGTGTATAGTAGAGCTGACAATGGACAATGTTGTAGTCACTTCTTGGTAACAGCCAGCTACCCAGTGGGACCGAGTAGTTGTACCTGTGGCTTGGGATCATAGTCGCAGAGGACATCAAGCTCAATTGGCATAGCATACTACACAAAACATTGTTCCACCTCCTACTTTGGGGAGCAGCGACTGAGATCTTAAAAGGTTGCAAGCAGCTATCTATATGCAACGATGGGTCTGTCCTCGTCCAGAGCAAAGAAGAATGAAGAAAACCAAAGATTAATGGAAACAATTAGTCCTAATGACTGTTACATCATGCATCTGCAGTCTATAGGACTATGAGACCAGAAGAACTATATAGTGCCAGCAACCACTGTCAACCACTCAAGGAGGATCTATGTAGGAGATCCTGGCTAGACAGGGAGAACAATGTGGAATAAAACTCAAAATCATTTGGAAAAAAAAAAAGGGGAGGGAGCAGGTTTGCTGGTATGATAGAGCCTGATGGAACCACTGAGACTATGACCCCTAGCTGCCCTTCAGGTCTGGAATTGAGCACACCCCTGTGGCTTCCAGCCAAACAAAAGACAGGCATAAGCGTTGAACATTTACCTGAGGTAGATACACTCCTCAGAGAGAACAATCATGGGAGAAAGAAGGGTTATTTATACACAGGGAGACAGCTCAGGGGGCAGGACTGCATGGAGGGATGGACACAGAGAAGAGGTAACTATCATGAGGAAGTGGGAGGGGAGCTGTTGCATTGAGTTAAATTATAGTCAATGTCATGGGGAAAAGTGTATGTGAACTGCTGTATGTAAAGCGAATTTGCTCTGTACATTTTCACTCAAATCACCAAAAAAAAAAGAAAAAAGACAGCTGGTAAGCATGGTACTAAATCAAGGGGGAAAAAAAATAAGTAGACCAAGAAAGAAATGCTTGGATCAAGAATATATAACCAAATTACACAAAGAATTAGAATAAAGCAATCTTTAAAAAGATCTTAGATGTGAACTCAGAGTAAAATATTTATATCATTGATTTGAAATTAGTAAAGAACTTTAAATTGATCAAACAAAAGACCTTGTTATATTGCTTTAACCATCTGCCTGCATGCTATCTGAAGACTCACTTTGTTATTTCAAATGCAAAATCCTACGATCCTATGAAACTCTTCTCTTCTAAATACTTCTCTATTTTCAAATTAAATAAGCAGCCCACTATAGGAGCACAGATCATACTCTTACAAAACCCATGAATGATTTTTTTGCTAGACTTTCAAACAAAAATCATATTTAGTCTCATCTGGCTACAAAGGTAGTTGCTAGAATCTAGTATGAGGCTGAGTCAGGTAGGAGAACAGAGAGAGAGGCTGGAAGACAGCTCCTCCCCAAAGTGTTTTCATATCATGAGTATTAATACAATCCTTTACAGATAAGTAATTTGGCCTTGCTCATCTGTGAAGAATATAATAAAATTCTGAGATGTGGGAGATGAAAAAGTAGCTAACTCTAATTATCTGAGGTTCTTACTTTCCTCTCTTCGTGATTCAAAGCTACTGCCTTCAGAGAGAAATGAAAGGAATTGCCAACCCCAACACATCTCTATTTATCACTTCACAACTTATAATATCTTTCAACTGCTTGCCTCCACTGATGACTCACAGCCATCTTCTTCAGGAAAGGCATTCAGAAGTATAGTCAACCATGAGACTCTCTGGACCTGTCAACAATCACTTACCTGCCTGGAGTGGTGAGAGCTGTGAAACAGATATAATAGGGTTGTTTACCCTTAACAAGCTTGTAATCTAACTTAATAACAAAAACTCACTCAAGTCAAATATCAAAAGAACTCCTTTTTCAGAGCACATGGAAAATAAAGTACAGCCATATAAAGAAAGTCCAAGTAGAGGGAGAAACTGAGGGGTAGTTAAAGGAGGTTCTTAGGGATTCTGACTATGATTCAATAGTGGAGTCTTGAACAATCAATTTTTAAAAATTCCCTTTTTTCTTTATGGTCCTTGACCTTGGCCAAACACTGAAATCACCTGCAGAACTTCAATAAATATTGATTCCTGGACACATCCACAGGGATATTTATGGATGTAACTGGTCTATGCTGAAGTACAGCATGGAGAACAGATACAGCTTTAGAAACCCAAGGATGGGTTGTTCTGAGTCAAATTGACTCACTAGCAGTGAGTTTGGTCTTGGTTTGGTTAAGACTGAGCTGACCAACCAAGGAGACTCTCATGGACAGGCAGTGTCCAGAACCACTGGTGTCAGATGTTAAGGAACTTAGAGAAAGCTGTGAAATGATTGCTGAATTGGATCACTTGAAGGTGACCGATGAAATGAGTTAAGAGCAGTTTTGTGAGTGTGAGGAGAGAAGGCAAACTTGAGGCAGTGAGGGCTGTAAGCAGTTTCATTGTGAGTGACGGTTCAAAAGTTTGTTTGTAAATCAAAGAGGTGACCTGAGTGACAGAACATGCCAAGGGGCCAGGACGGAGTTTAATTTTTTGCTTTTATTTCTTCAAGAAAAAAGATGTGGGTTGCTTACACAGAAGGGATGATCCAGTAGAAAGAGAGTTTGAAAAGTAGGAAAAGGGAAATGTCATCAATCAGAGTCTCTTTGAGACAGAACAGAGTGGGATGGGGATTTGAGAACAGATGTGAGGGTTTTCTTTTTGAGAGAGTAGGAGCTAACATCTATTAAGCATCAGCTTTGCTAGGTATCAGGCCAGACACTGTGTAGCCATAATTTCATTAATCTTCCCAGCAAATCTTCAAGGATTGTCATAGGGTTGAAGGCCCTATACCCAAAACTGTTGCATCTTGACTGTTCCACATTAATGATATTTCCAAATCCTCCAAAAGACAGCAGTGGTCAAAAATAATTGTGGCAGCCCCATCATGGTTTATTATAGAAAGAACTAAATAAAGGAGTATAAGCAGTCCAACTTTAAAATAAAGAAAAACATTGACAAAATCTGTCAAAAAAATAAAAATAAAAATATAAAAATAAAAACATTGGTAATGGTTTAAGAAATCCCAGTGTTTCCCCAGGTACCTGAGAGCCATGTTGTGAGCTGCAGTTCCCAGAGCTCTCCTCCCCAGGATACACAGGGCAAAAGACAGAGTTACCAAAGGAGAGTCCTCATCACTGTCCAGAGTCTTCAAAGGCTGAAAGAGGAGGAACGGCAATTCAACTTTCACACAGGCTCCAATATGTACCAATTCTTAAATGTAGGAGGAGCTCTGGTAGTACAGTGACTAAGGAATGTGACTGCTTACCAAAAAGTCAGTGGTTCAAACCCTCCAGCCATTTTGTGGGAGAATAATGAGGCAGTCTGATTCCTTAAAGATTTAAAGCCTTGGAACCCTACTCTGTCCTGTAAGGCCACTATGAGTCGGAATCGACTCATTGGCATGGGTTTGGTTTGGATTTGGGGTTAAATGTAGAGTTCAAGGAGACTTTTTAAGTCAGGCATTATGGTCAGCCTATGGCCTCTATAATAATCCCAGGGGTGGAGAACTCTCTACTTCCTGAAGCTCTTATGGTTGGACATAGAAATAAATAAAAATGGGGATGCTATATTATGGGAGAAAGGGGCTAATGTGTGATTTTATGATTTAATTCCCTAGAAGTTTGAATATGGCCCTTCAGTTCATGACTGTAAGTCAGAACATAGTCAACTGAGTGCCCACTTTAACAATCTCCAACATAGGGGAAGGGTTTTGCTCTAGCATGAAGAGAAGAGATAAATGCACATGAAGAAGTTAGAATGAGGATTTTGCCTTTTCCCTATAATAAAGAGTCCTTTGACTTGACCATAAGTCCAAAATCAACAACTAAGTTAAAAGTGTCATCCAAAGTTAGTTTATTTTAAAAGGAAATGAAAGTGTAGTGTGGAAGAAATTGAAAGTTGCAGTATCTTTTACAAAAAATGAAACTACTCTATTTCATCCACCAAATGAGGAATGAGGAGGACCATCATGAATATCAATAGATGCCTCAAATATCTCCACCACCTGAAGAGTACAAGCAGGGGTAAAGATGGTCAGTACACATTTGCCTTGGTCTATCTGGAGAAGCCAGGTTCTACCACCTGCTTGTTCTGCCACCAGGTCAAGCCATGGGGCTAGTGTCATAGTTTGATTCTCTCTCTACAGGACATACCATGTACTTTATCAGCTGCTGGGGAAGTTGTTTTCAATATGGACCCACTTTCTCCATCAATTGCACATTGATTCAGCCTTTCAAATAGTGTTTTCCTCCCCTTTGTCTTCTTCCTCTCCCTCCTCCCCATTTCTTTTTGTAAGCTGACATTGTCCTTGTTTTCATTTCTGAGAGGTAGGATCCACCTCCAGATGACCCTCAGCAACTGAACAAATTGACAGGAGAGAAGCAACTACAGAAGTAAGTGGGACTATCTGATTGTTAAGTAAAATCTGCATGTCCATGATTAGATCTGTTCACAAAATCTTCCTAAAGATTTTCAGCAGAGGTAGACTCTGTATAGCAATCTCAAAATGAAATTTTAAACAAAGAAATTTTCAATGTTTTAAAATGATTTTAGAGGCTGAAAATGGCATTGATCTTGCAGCATAGCACAGAGGGAAACATACCTTCAAAGCTGCTCACTGGAGACACAATGTATTAATTCTTCCAGTTAATTGTACTGAACTGTTAAATAAATACCAAAATGCTAATGCTTTTTCTCCCCTCTAGTTTATTTAGTCCACCATGGAGTATAAGAATGAGATGGACTTTCAAATGTTTCTTGTTTAAAAATCTTACATTCAATGTCCATCTTCCCCCCACCCCCCCAACCTACCTCTTGTTGTTTCTGTGCACAGTACTGGATCCATTCTAGGTAAACATTGCAATAGCTGGCTCTGGTGATCCCCTGAAGACACGGCACATAGTCATCATCAATGTTAATGTTGAACATTGCAAGGTCACGCTCAACATAATGCCACTTGGCAAAAGGCTGCAGGGACTTCAGAAGTGACTCATTTTTGATCCAGGAGAGGAGTTTTGGTGATGTGACCATATAGTATATTATACTCTGTAGAGAAAAAGCAAGAGTTTGAGCACTCACAAACATTCTAAACCAGATAGATTTTTATTTATTAGATCTCAGAAAGTAAATCAATTTCAGGAAAGTATGAGGCAAAAAAATCTCCACATGTGGTATCATTTGTATTTACTACCCTATTTAGTTTATAAATCCACTTGAGACATCCTAAAATATCTTCTCTTAAGGGTCAATGTAAGAAAGAATGATGCAAAAGAATATGATGCTAACAGTATGTGAGACAACAGAATTTTCATAGTGAGAAAGGATGACAGAGAGAAGCAGAGTGATGGAATTACTTCACACTTCTATTTATGTCAGGACACAGTGAGTCCAGCTGTGAGAAAGGTGAGAAGAACCTCTTCTAGAGCACACCCCTCTGTGTGTTATAACCAAAGGCCTTTGACTGCATTAAAATGACATTGTTCCTATGGAAACTATTTATGATGTGAAAACAATATAGCACACACACACATAATACTGGGTGCTCAAACCTTTGACATCTATGACATATTAAAAAAAAAAAACTTATGGGAAGGAGGATCTAAGATCATGGATTAGGTAGATATACAATCTAGACTTTCTTCAACAAAGATTCTAGAAACCAGGTGAAATAGATATGGTGACAATCCTGGAGCCCAGAAGTTCCAGAAAAAGATAAAAATGTAGATTAAATATCTATTAGAGGAAAAGATTGGAATGGGTGCAAATGTGGTACTCTTCTCATCAGATGGCTAAGTTGCTGTCTTCCAAATTTCTTGGCATAGGTGAGGAAGCACTTCCAGCACTATATCCATTTGTTGAAACATCTCAATGGGTATTATGTCAATTCCAGGAGCCTTTTTTTTCCCCCAATTCCTTCAGTGCAGCTTGGACTTCTTCCTTCAAGAGCATGGGTTCTTGATCATATACTACCTCCTGAAATAGTTGAACATCAAATCTTTTTGGTACAGTGACTCTATGTATTCTTTCCATCTTCTTTTGATGCTTCAAACATCCTTCAATATTTTGTCAATAGAATCCTTCAATATTGCAACTTGAGGCTTGAAATTTTACTTCTGTTCTTTCACCTTGAGAAATGCGTGTTCTTCCTTTTTGGTTTCCTAACTCTTGATCTTTGCACAGTTCATAATAATACTTTACTTTGACTTCTCAATCCACCCTTTGAAATCTGTTCAGCTCTTTCCTTTCATCAGTTCTTCCATTTGCTTTAGCTACTCTCTGTTCAAGAACAAGTTTCAGAGTGTCTTCTGACATTAATTTTGGTGTTTTCTTCATTTTCTGTCTTTTTAAGACCTTTTGCTTTCTTCATGTATGATGTTCTTGATGTCATACCACAACTTGTCTGGTCCTTGGTCATTGGTATTGAATGGGTCCAATCTGTTCTTCAGATTGTCTCTAAGTTCAGGTGAAATATAATAAGGTATTTTGGCTCTTGTAGACTTGTTTTAATTTTCTTCAGGTTCAACTTCAACTTGAACATGAGCAATTGATGGTCTGTTCTATAGTCAACTCCTGGCCTTGTCTGATTGGCATGTAACAACAACAACATGAGTCTATACATAGAAACCCCAGAGAGTCAACAACAAAACTACTGGAACTAATAGAAGGATTCAGTAAAGTGGCAAGGTATAAGATCAACATACAAAAACTAGTCAGATTCCTCTACACTATCAAAGATATCTCTGAAAAGGAAATCAGGAAAACAATTCTATTTACAATAGCCACCCAAAGGTGAAGTATGTAGGAATAAATCTAATAAAAGATACAAATGACCTATATAAAGAAAATTACAAAACACTACTATAATAAATCAAAGGAGAGCTACATAAATGGAAGAATATATCATGTTCATAGCTAGCAAGAGTTAAGTTTGTATAAATGTCAATACTGCCTAAAGTGATCTACAGATATAATGCAATCCTAATCTAGATTCCATCATCATTCTTTAAAGAGATGGAAAAGTAATCAGCAACTTTATATGTAAAGAAAAGAGACCACATATTAGCAAAGTATTACTAATGAAGAAGAATAAAGTAGGAGGCCTCACACTCCCTGACCTCAAAACCTACTATATATGATAATAAAATAATAATAAAAATAGCTTGCTATTGTCACAATGACAGAAACATTGGCCCATGGAACAGAATTGAAACCCCAGAAGTAAACCTATCCTCTTATGGCTAGCTAATCTTTGATAAAAGTCTGAAACCAATTAAATGGGAAGAGATAGTCCTTTTAACAAATGGCACTGGCAAAGCTGGGTATCTATTTGCAGAAAAAGAAAACAGGTTCTATATCTCTCACCATATAAAAAAATCTAACTCAAGATGGATCAAAGACCTAAATGTAACATTTTAAATTGTAAAGATATCAAGGAAAAATAACAGGAATAAACTTAGAGTCTGTAATACAGGCATAAATAAACTATCAAACATAAATAAAATTGTACAAACACCAGAAGACTACATTTATGCTTATCAAAAGACTTCAGTAAGAGAGTAAAATGGGAACCTATAAATTAGGAAATAATTTTTGGCAATGACATATGGGACAGGGAAAAGACAAACCAAAAACCAAACTCACTGCCATCAACTTTCTGAGGCAGTATCACTATGGAAGTAGAAAGCTTCAATACCTCAGCAACAAAAAGAAAAACATTCCAATTTAAAAAATGGGCAGAGAACATGAACAGACACCTTCGCCAAAGAAGATATTCAGGCAACAAAAAGTATATGAAGAAATGCTTATGATAGAAGCCATTCCAAAAGTCAAACCAAATTCACTGCCATCAAGTTGATTATGACTCATAGAAACCCCCTTGGGTTTCTGAGGTGAGGTAAATCTTTACAGAAGTAGATTGCCCAGTCTTCCATCTGTGGAGTGGCTGGTGGGTTTGAACTGCCAGCCTTCTGGGTAGCAACTCATTAGGGAAATGACATTAGCTAAACAATAATGAGATAATATCTCATCTTAGGATTTATGTTGTTGTTGTTATGTGCCGTCGAGTTGAACCCGACTCATAGCGATGCCTCCTTGGGTTTCTGAGGCAGTATCACTATGGAAGTAGATTGCCCCACCTTCCTTCCGAGGAGTGGCTGGTGGGTTTGAACCACCAGCCTCTGCTTAGCAGTCAAGTGCCTTTAGCCACTATGCTACCAGACAGAAACCCACAAATGCTGGCAAGGGGGAGGAGAAATTGAAATTCTCACACACTATTGATGGGACTTGTAAAATGATACAACCATTGTGGAAACCAGTATGGCATTTCCTTAAAAAGTTGGAAATTTAAATACCATGTTATTGTTGTTAGGTGTCATCAAGTCAGCTCTGACTCATAATGACAGTATGTACAACAGAATGAAACACTGACCAGTCCTGCACCACCCTCACAATACTTGCTATGCTTGAGCCCATCATTGTAACCTCTGTGTCAATACATCTTGTTGAGGGCCTTCCCTTTCTTCTCTGACCCTCCACTTTACCAAGTATGATATCCTTCTCCAAGGAATGGTCACTTCTGACAACATGACCAAGTAGGTGAGATGAATTCTGTCCATTCTTGCTGCTAAGGAGTATTCCAGCTGCACTTCTTGCAGGACAGATTTGTTCATTCTTCTAGCAGTCCATGGTAGTTTCAGTATTCTTTGCCAACACCACAATTCAAAGGCATCAGTTCTTTAATCTTCTTTATTCATTGTCCAGCTTTCACATGCATATGAGGTGATTGAAAATACCATGGCTTTGGTTAGGCACACCTTAGACTTCAAAGTGAAATTGTTGCTTTTTAACACTTACATTATATAAATGAAATACCACAAGATCCAGCAATACTAACCTCGAGAAAGAAAAGTCATGACACAAACAGATATATGCATATCCACATGTTCATCACAGTATTATTCACAATAGGAAAAAGACATAAACACCCTAACAGTGGATGAATAGATAAAAAAATTTTGGTACATACACACAATGGAATAGTATGCAACATTAAAGAATAATAATGAATCTGTAATACACCTCATAACATGGATGAACCTAGAGGACATTATACTGAGTGAAATTTCACTAATTAGTCAATCACAAAAGAACAGATATTGTGGAAAATAACTACTATAAAAAAGTGAATTAATAAAGAAAAAGACAGAGATGTGCAATGAAAGTAAATATTATTACAAACACAATTCTGCATAATCAGTAATAACAAATATTAATATATAGATGGATACATAAGTAGACAGCAAGATGACCAAGTGTGGGTAGGTGAATGAGGATATACCCATGACCATATACAGGTTTGATAGTTAATATTTCTACATAAGTATTTGTATGTGCTATGAAAATGTCCATATACATAATAGAACTAGCAGGGGCAAAATTATGATAATTTCTTAGCCACAACTAAACACTTTGAGGAGTGAGTCACTGTCCTTTGGACTTGGGACCATGTTGTCAGGGATATCAAGCTTAACTTTCACAGCATAGTACATAAAATATTGTTCTACATTCTACTTTGGTTAGTAGTGACAGGGATCTTAAAACCTTGCAAGTGGCCATGCAAGATGTAATTACTTATCTCTTTTCATTCAGAGCTAGAAAGAGTGAAGAAAATCAAGGATGAAAGAAAATAATCCAAGGAATAAGTCCATGGAAACTTTTGCCTACATGACCTTGAGACCAGAAGAACCAGATGGTGCCCAGCTACCACTGCCAACAACTCAGAAAGGAATCAAAATTGCAGATCAAGGATAGAGTGGAAGAAAAATGGGGAAAAAATTCAAAATTAACCAAAAATCAAACCAAACTCACTGCCATCAAGTTGATTCCAACTCATAGTGACCTCTCCTTTGGTTTCTGAGGTTCTATCTCCATGGAAGTAGATTGCCCAATCTTCATTCTGAGGACTGGCTGGTGAGTTTGAACCATCAGCCTTCTGGTAAGCAGTCAAATGCCTTAGGCACTATGCCACCAGAGGAAATGGAAAAACC